GCACCAGAACTAAAGAGCAAGGCAGACCACAAGAACCAGCCTTCTGCCTCCAAGTTCTGCCTGATACTTTGTAGTTAGCCGAAGCACATTTTAAACGGCATCCAATTCAACCCTCCGAACAGCAAGAGATGGAGAATCTCGTCAGTTACTATTGTAATAGGTTCAAAATGTGTATCTACTTTCTAATTTGAACTTGTCTGTCATGACACTTCTGGCCAGTCATTCTGCTTTTATTAAATCCCTTATCTAAAAATACCTTTAATTAAGACGATTACTAGCCAGTACTTAGCGGCCCTTAAGAATCTTACATGTCTTTACTCACTTTCAAATAGAAGGCTTTCTCCACAAGACCCCTGCATTTTACCAGTGGTATAACAAATACACTACTAAGCATTCCAAAGGACTTTAGCCATCAGTCTAGGCACTGTGTTGATATACATTCATATTTATACTTCCATCACACTGAAGCACAAGCTGCCTTCTACTCTATAATCCTCTGGATATGTCCTGCTCCCCAGCCTACTGCTCTAACAGATGCGGCACATGTACAAACAGGCTGTTGGCAACTACTACTAGTAAGTACTTTAGTCCCGTGCGTGGCACCACTACAATCTGTTTTGAAATATTGTTTGTTGTTCCACATAGGGCAGTTACAATATTTTTGTTTTGGCTAAATTACCATTATCTATAGGAATGGAATCACTTATTTTCCTCGTCTTTGTTGTAATATCCATAACGCCATTTGCTTGCTTTTTCTTAAGTAAAAGCTGATGAGAAGCACTATTACTGAACCCTTTTAGCACAGACTGCAGGATCATTAACATCCTCCGATATACAGTGTTTTCAGAGAAACTGAAACAATCCGGCCTCTCAAAACCAGTGACAGTGGGAAAAAAAAAACACTTTTTCTTGCCTCAGCAAATATATAGGAATTTTGTTTGGTTTTCAGACTTTCCCCTTCTTCCTACACAGTAAATTGCCCAACTATACTTGACAGTTTCAGAACAAGAAAAGCTATCTCAGATGGGAGACACTGCAACACAGAAGATTACCTCTTACTGCTTACCTTAGCTTTCTTCTGATGATTAATCACAATTCAGTATTAAACTATTCAGGCTTCCCCTCGGCATGACAAGCACCTGAAGTTGCTTTATGTTCAAACTAGCAAATCCTTGCCCCGAATGTATGGCTCAGCAGATTTCAGCTCAAAAGGGCAGTACAAACCCCTTTTACAGAAGGACAGAACAGCTTAGGTTGGAAGATAGCTCCGGAGACCACCTAGTCCAACCTCTTCCAACAAAAAAGCAAGATTAATTACAAAGGTTGCTCAAGGTCTTGTCTGAGCATCTCTAAGGATGGAGACTCCACAGTTTGTCTGGACCATCTGTAACAGTACTGTTACAGTAAAATTTTCCTCTTCTGTTTAAACACAGTTTCCCACATCTCAGGTCTTGTCTTTGGGCACCACTGAAAAGAACCTAACTCTGTCTTCCCTACATCCTCCCATCAGGTATTTCACAGAACCACAGAACGTTAGGGGTTGGAAGGGACCTCGAAAGATCATCTATTTATACACATCAGTAATATCCTCCCTGAGCTTTATCTTCTCCTGGCTTTTATGAAAGATAGTAAAAAAAAAAAAAAAAAAGATTCTTACCTTTAGAGAACTGTAAAATTCATCCAACACTAAGCTCATAGAACGAGTCAGGTTGCTGACATAGGATGTCTCTTGATTCAGGGCATCCTGAAAAGTCTCGAAGTCCTGCATCCATTCTACTGCAAAACTGTGGTCAATTATGTCTGTCTGGAAGGAGAAGAGAAAGTAACAACGATGAATTCTCAGCCATAGGCTGTTTAGTGGGCAAATAAAAATTTCCATCTTTTCAAAAATACGCAGCCCTGGTCTGAAGCTTTCAAAGCGCTATTTCTACCAAACTTGAATACATGAAGAGAAGACATAATGACAAAAGATGAGGAATTCCTTCTTTGCCTCAGTCTTCAACAGCAAGAACAGTTGTTCTCCAGGCACAAGCCCCCTGAGCTGGAAGACAGAGTGAGTAGCAGACTGAAGCCCCCACGATCCAAGGGGAAAGGGTCCCTGCCCTGCTGCTCCCCTGAGACACAGAAGCCCATGGGGCCAGATGGCATCCACCCAAGGGTACTGAGGGAGCTGGTGGAAGTGCTCATCAAGCCACCTCCCAGCATTCACCAGCAGCCCTGGCTAACTGGGGAGGTTCCAGCAGACTGGAGGTGAGCAAATATCAGTCTGAGCTCAATGCCAGGAAAGGTCATGGAACAAATCATCTTGAGTGCCATGACACACCACTTCCAGGACAACCAGGGATCAGGCCCAGCCAGCAGCACAGGTTCATGAAGGGCAGGTCCTGCTTAATGAAGCTGATCTCCTACCACAAGGTGACCCGCTCAGTGGAGGAAGGAAATGCTATGGATTTGATTATCTGGATTTCAGGAAAACTTTTGATACTGTTCCCCACAGCACTCTTATGACAATCCGGCTACCCGAGGCCCAGACAGGCGTACGGTCTGCTGGATCACTCCCTGGCTGGATTGCAGAGTCCAAAGTGTTAGGGAGCACAGTTAAACCCAGCTGGTGGCCTGTCACAGTGTGCCCCAAGGCTCAGCGCTGGGGCCACTCCTGTTTAACATCAGTGATCTGGATGGAGGGATCGAGTGCTCCCTCAGTCAGTTTGCAGATGACA